TATATTTCAAAACTTTTCTGCAAATCTGCCATTCCCTTCAAAGTAGTCCCCTTGCGCAGCTATACAATGATTCCAGCGCGTTTTCCATGATTCGTAACATTTCTGGAACGTTTCGCCTGGGATATGCGCGAGTACCCTCACCACGGCCGTCTGGATGTCCTCAATCGAATCAAAATGGATTCCTTTGACCACCGATTTTGTTCTAGGGAACAAAAAAAGTAGCAGACTGATCTATCGGGCAACTAAGACGGTTGTTGCAACACGACGGTCCCTTTAGAGGCCAAGTACTGGGACGCGCTGAGGGCGGTGTGGCACGGTGCGTTGACGTGATGAAGAATCCAGTTACGAGCATTGCCTTGGCGCAACCCCGTTGACTCGTTTTCGCAATCTTTTGAGTACTTGGTAATTTACGTTTTGCTCTAGTGGAAAAAACTCTTTGTGAACGATTTCACGGCTATCAAAAAAGGCAATAATCATAAAAATTTTCCATTTTCGTGACGAACACCACAAACACACGATTACTCAACACGACACAGCTGGCAAGCTAAGGCGATGGCAAATGAATCAATGGAGAGGAGAAGGAAAAGGATTTTCAAGGTGGCAATGTTACCACAATCGCGGCAATATAATCAGTCACACTACTTAATTGTCACACCTCGTATTAATTAGACTCGCTTTATGCTTTATACGTAAGCAAGTTACGTCTCAAGACCCGATAATTTTTTTCGTAACCCATAAGTATTCATGCCTCACTGGTGATTTACGTTTGTGTATACTATTTTATAGGGGATTTTTATTGTTTCTGGTGCGGCGATGTCACGACAGAGGACGACAGAGGCACTAATTTCATGCGAGTTTGATTCTCTAATAAAAAAACATCGAGTTTTTTAAAATTTGAGGTCGTCTTACGCGTTATACCAGCTCAGTTCTGCGGCCGCCGATCCCTTACATTCACAATAACAATGAGTTAAATATTTACATTTACTATTTCATGCCTACATTCACACCCATCAAAATTTTTCCTTCAGATTCAAGGTTGTGTTTTGTATATTTCAAGTGGGTATTCGTTATAGTTCATATTACGATTTCAGTTTCGCCTTCACATTGACTATAGCATTTGGAAATCAATTGTAACTTTGGGCTTGTTCAAACATATTTTTTTCTTCCTTTTTTCAATTGTCTGTCGTGAATTTCTTTACAGCTATTTTTCTTATCAAAGCGATAACAATAAGCAATTACAAGGCGTTTGCTTTGAACTTACTCATCGCAGGGTGTCAAGATTTTCGGGAGTTGTACATACATACGTGTATATTTGTAGTCATACATATGTAGATAACGGTAAGAGTTAAAACGTTTGCATGTTAACAGGCAATTTTCAATTGTAATACTGTTCTCAGAGTTAAGTGAAAAGATATGTCGTAAAAAATCATTTGAATTCTTACATACTATATACAATATGTATTATATATGTATTTGAATGCATATAAATAAATTTTGAACTTTTACCGTCTGACTACTATCTTCTTCTTTACTGGCGTAGACATCGCTTATGTGATTATATCCGAGTTAACAACATTACGATATTCATTTTTTCTTTCCGCTATCATCAAGTCCTGCTCTATCTGGTCTCTCTAGCGGTGTGGAGATCTTACTCTTCCTCTGCTTCCACCGGCGGGTATTGCATCGAAAATTTTCAAAGCTAGGGTATTCTTATCCGGACCACATGACCTAGCCAGCGTAGCCACTTTTTCTTGATTCGTGGAACTAAGTCAATGGCGCCTTATATCTCATACAGCTCATCGGCTGCGGTATTCGGCCTTCCCGATTCGTAGAGAGCCATAAATCTTACGAAAACTCTTAACGCAAATCATCAGCTGCTCTCATCGTTCATGTCTCCGCATCATGAGCAACGGGAACGATGAGCGACTTGAAGAGTTTGGTCTTTTTTCGTCAAGAGTGGACTTTAGTTTGCCTACTCGGTCCAAAGTAGCACCTGTTGGCAAGAGTGATTCTGCGCTGGATTTCAATTCTGACGTTATTGTTAGTGTCAATTCTGGTTCCTAGATAGGCGAAGTTATCTACGACTTCAAGTTATGACTGTCAGCAGTGGCGTGTGAGCCGAGTCGTGAATGCGATTACTGTTTGTTTATCTTGTCTCGTTCACTACCACACTTCGCTTCGTTTTTCAGTGTCGAGAGAGCAGAACTCACGGCGCGGTTGTTGAGGCCAATAATGTCAATAACATCGGCGTAAGCCAGCAGCTGTACACTCTTATAGAAGGTTTTACCTTCTCTATTTAGCTCTGCCGCTCGTATTATTTTCTCCAGTGACAAATTATAGAAGCCGCAGGTTAGGGAATAACCTTGTCTGAAACCACGTTCGGTATTGAATGGCTCGGAGAGGTCCTTTCCAATTCTGACTGCGCTTCTGGTGTTTTCTAGCGTCATTTTACACAACCGTTTAATTTTTTCGGGGATACCGAATTTAGACACTGTGGCTGCTTTGAAATCCACGATGAGGTGATGTATTTCGATTCTCTTTTCCAGGGTATTTTCCAAGATTTGGCGCATGGGTAATGATTGAATTACCAGGTCTAAAGCCACACTGAAAACGTCAAATCAGTTTGTTGACGGTAGGTTTAAGTCATCCACAAAATACGCTCGATAGGACCTTATATGCGATGTCAAGAAAGCTTATTCCACGGTAATTGGCGTAGACTGCAAACGTGCCTTCCATGTGTACATCAAGAGCACTGAAGACATGTCTTCCGTCTATCACAACATGATCGATTTGATTTTGTGTATTTTTATCTGGAGAAAGCCAAGTAGCTTGGTGAATATTCATGTGCTGGAATCCAAGGCTACAGACAACCATATTTCGGCCGCCGGCGAAGTCGATCAGCCTTAACCTATTTGGGGATGTTTCGTTATGGAGGCTGATTTTTCCGACAGTTGTGCCGAAGATACCTTCTTTTCCCACCCTGGCGATGAAGTCGCCAAGCACAATATTGATGTCATGGCGGTGGCAGCGCTCATAAGAGGCACTCGTAAGAAGCATTCTTGGACACATCGTTAGAAACTTCCATCAGGATGTGGGCGCAAAGCCACGATATTTTTAAAATAATCGCTTTGACGGGAATTGCGGAATAAAGTACCCAATCCACTTCAAATGTTGACTGTGACATTCAGCAAGCCCACTTTGTCTCAAAAAAGTGTTTAAAAGTAGTACAAGTGCTTTACGGAAGGCCAAGACAATGTTGCTGATGATGAGCGTCCTGAAGTCGTAGCCCTGCCAAAAAGCGGCGAGAACATCGAAACACTATTACTATTAGGAAAGTTGTAGAAAGTTGAAACATGTGGCAGCGAAGTTTGTTCCGAAATTGCAAAATTTTTACCAAAAGCTACGTGATGTCAGTATCGCTCAGAAATTATTGAATAACGCCAACGGTCCAGATTTGCTCATGACAAAGGAGAATATGGTTCTGACGTTTAAGCGAAGGAAATACAGTCAGTATGGAAGAACGACCGGATGGCAATACTGAAAAGCGCATTTCAAAAGTACTTCGAGGATTGGAAGAAGCGCTGGTGTTAGTGCACTACATCTGAGGGGGAATGCTTTGAAAACTTTTCAAACAAATTCAATATTCACCTTTTCTTTTGAACAAACCTCGCACTTCATTCCTAGACTCATCACAGAGTTGTGAAAATTCACAAGACAAGCAACAATTACATAAAATCTAACCTTGCCAATGGAAAGGCGAAATACAAATTAGAGGTCAATATGTTTGTAAAAAAAATTATTACTTGTAAATTGAAAATAATTTCAATGTCTTAAACAAATCGCATTAAAATGTATGACCTTGAGTAAACTCATGTGTACAAGGCCACTCGGAATCACGACAGTATGTATGCCCTGTTGGAAATTTGAATGACGTGGTAAAGAATCCAATAATAAAATAATGGACATGCATTTCCATGAAAAGGAAGAATTTACATATATATTTATCACACATGAAGTTAGCAATTTTTCACATAAATTAATAAATAATTTTTTATTTACTATTTTTTCCTTTTTTTGGTTTCGTATGCATGAAACTTTGATAAGGGTGCTTCTTGGCTGGCGATACTCTTATTGCTTATTTGTAAAAAAGTTTTGTATATACATAATATACATACATATGTGCAAAGTTTTCAAAATAAAAGAAAATTTATGCAAAATTTTTATTTCATTTTGAAGCATATTTGCGACGTAGGAAAACAAAACACTGCCCAATGATTTGAAATCACGGTCAGAAAGTTTTTTGTATTAGTATTAATTAATTTAGTTCAAATTTGAGAAATATAAAAACTAAATTTAATTATTTTATCTCTAGTTTACTTTTGTTTTATGGTGATTTTTTTTCATAACCTACCAAACCTACCTTAATATTTCCGACTGTGCCTAACAAAGAACACACCAAGCAAATAAATATACTCGTAAAATACATACTCACAGCTGCTCCTAACGACCAAACATACAATATAAAATGAATTCAGCGAGCAAAAGCTGCAAATTAACGTTTATGTGGGTGTTTTTGGCAAAAACAGCTGACGGTATTCCGTACTCGCAGCGCGGCCCACTGACCTACTTACTTAAACCCAACGGTACCGGAAACAAGAGTCTCTATGCTTAATGACGAAAACACACATTCACACAAATGCAAAAGGGAATTGTTTAACATACAATTAGGCGCGTCTTTACATAGCCCTTTTTACATGTGTAACATACGCACAAATGTAGGGACAGACTTATGCACTTGACCTACACCAAAATTGCGTTAAAATAGTCGCAAACACTTGTGTAGATGAAACTGCCACTGCCTCTTTGCAATTCACATGTCACCTTAAGTACATACACGTACATACATAGTATAATATGCAAATTTTAGCAAGCCATTTGTTGATTCCCACGTACATATAGTTCAAAATTTCCAAACAACACCACACATAATTAATATTTACCTTTACAATGTAATTGTATTTGACTTTATCGTTTTTGTTATAAAATCCTTATTATTATATTCCTTTTAAGTTTTATTTTTTAATTCACTAATCGTTGTTTTTTTACTATCAGAGTGTAACTAAAATATGCGAAAAATATTTGATATTTTGTGGGAGGCAAATGACTGAGTGTGCCTGGTGCATTAAGCTGTGTGCTTTAAAAAGCTCTGTAAGCTTTTTTGCCAGTGCGCTATTGCTTATTATACCCAAGAGAAAAAGTTAAGTTATTGACGGACTTTGCTTTTTATCCATTTCATTTAAATTCTATTTTATAGTATCTATTTTACTTTATTTTTTTTCTAGTTTTATTTTATTTCATTTCATATTCCTTTTTAATTTCTTTTATTTTTCTGCTCCTACTTTAATATATTTATTTTTTTCCTCTTTTTATTTTATTTTAATTTGTTTTATTTTATTTTATATATATTATTTTATTTTATGTTATTTTATTTCATTTCATCTTATTTCATTTTATTTTAACACATTTTTTCTATTTTTATTTTATTTTATTGTTATTTTATTTTATTTTATTTTATTTTATTTTATTTTATTTTATTTTATTTTATTTTATTTTATTTTATTTTATTTTATTTAATTTTTTTTTCTTTATTTTATTTTGTTTTATTTATATTATTTTCTTTCATCTTATTTTAATTTTTTTTTGTCATATTTTTTTATTTTATTTTATTTTCTTTGCTATATTTTGTTTTAGTTTATTTATTTTATTTTATTTAATTTGTTTGTAAAATAATAAAATATTTTATTTAAATTTATTTTATTATATTTTACTTAATTTTTTTGTTTATTTGTTTATATTCTTTTTATTTTATTTGATTTTATTTTATTAATTTCTTATTTCTTTACTTTATTTTATTTTATTTACTTAATTTTACTTTATTTTATTTTACTTCATTTTATATTATTTTATTTAATCTTTTATTAATTTGCAATCTTTTGTTTCATATTATTTCATTTTATTTTATTTTAATTTATTTTATTTTATTTTCTTTTTCCATTTTATTACATCTTATTTTCATAGCTTATTTTATAGTATAAATGTAAAAACTTTTTCCAACACCATAGTTAAATTCATTTATTTTCGTTATGATTAAATTATTAAAAATGTTTCTCTTATCAAACTAAATAATTCCACCATTCACGGACAGTGGCTGTATGGGAGTTAAAATGTGTGGGTCATAGGAAATCTGAGGAGTGTTAGTGGGTGGAAAATATAACGGCTGTGTAGAAGTTAACGGCTGTGCAGAAGGTAACGGCTGAAGGGATGTCAGTGGCTGAATAGAAGCCAACGGCTGTGCGGAAGCAAACGGCTGCACGGACACCAGCGGCTGCGCAGAAGCCCATGGCTGCGTGGAAGATAACTGCAGCAATGACGCTCCAGGGATACGAGATGATTGTACTAATGGCCGTTCAGCTACTTGCCAAGCTGGGCGATAGCCAAATCGTGAGTTTATTAATGCTGACGGTTGCAGGAATGGACTTGATGGCACGAATGTCTCCGACGATGGTGGCATCCCTGGCACAGAGGCGTATGGTTCTGCCGGTGATACAAGTATGGGCAGCCTTTTCTCAGTTGATAAACACATTACACCGTCCGGGCAACTCGGTGGATACGTAGGTATCTCCCATTTCCAAACTCGCCACATCACACAGGTACTTAGACTCTGTTGAAAGCCACTGCCATCAGGGCATGTTTCCTGCAGAGGTTCTACATTCAGAGCAATACAGCGAAAGTAACGTATCGGATCCCAGAAATGCCTGTACAGATTGCCAATTTCTCCAAGTGTCTTACAACCAGGCTTACCATCATATGTACTTATCGCTGCAGAACAAAACTCGATGATTCCAAAGCTTAGTAGTATTGATGTAAGCTCTACAAATCGGCCGTGAGTATTTATTGAAAATAATCTGTTTTCGAATTAAAAGGAAACTTACTTATATACCGCATTTTCGTTGCAGCTCCAGCAAGACCGCGAGCAATGAGTTCGGAACTGTATGCTAGGCAATTTTTCACCTCGCTTTTATATACATTTTAATGAAATGCCTTTTTTATTTATTAAAAAGCTTTCGAAATCTACTTATTTACCACCCAAGAAACCTCCTCTGATTGCAGCTATTTTTTATTTACATATTTACAAGAATTATAACAAATAGCGTAGAATGCCCTTTGGAAAGATATTTCTTACTTTCGCATACCGACATAACATGCATACTCGTACATACCAATCTTTTTCATGCGTATGTCCCCTAGTAAAGATATGCTGCTCTGTTTAGTTGACTGATAAGCTCATGCCACAAGAGAGTGTCATTGAAGTCTGAGGCCACTAAGTATTTGAGTAGTCATGGGCTTACATCACGCTATTCCTGGTAAAAAGAAGACTGTCTGCAAACATACTTTACACATATTTATAATTATTGTAAAGATAGGGGCATTTTTTAAAGTAAACTGAATATGAGGTATATTATAATTAACCCAATATTGAATTGGAAGAGACGAGTGCTTGAAATAGACAGTTAAGTTTTCAAACGAAGACTACTAGTGGCGCATTCTAGCCGCCATTTTGCACCGAGATCCTCCTCCAATTTTTGATATGCGTCTTGATGTGGTGAATGGCCTGATTGCTCGAGAGTCATTGGCTGAGTTTCGATGTCATAACTTAAGACTCCGAAAAATTAAGTAAGGGTTTAGGGAGGGTGTTATCCTCTACCTACTAGAGCATCCCTAATCAAATAAGCTGATGGCTGCTCGATATTGAAGTCTAGCCAGGATATTGATAGCTATTGACAACCTTTGCTGGAAGATAAACTACTATCTCGCCGACCAACTTCTGCTTATACGAGGTATTTAGCGTATGTTCTGAATGCAGTAGTTCACCGCACCACGCTAACCACCTCTTTGCAAGCCCACTAAAAGCCCGAATTGCTGTCCGAATCCTTCTAAGCATTTATTTTGCTAGAGCTCGCTTTAGATGACCTCAACGACATGGACAGATTCCAATTCTTTCAAAAGTGGATCAGCTCATTAATCAGCCCCAAAGGCCAAAAGACGTGGCTTTACAATGTGAGACCCTCTGTTTGCAGGAAACCCATCATTAACCTAAGCAAGAAACTTAAAACAGATAGACAGATTAAAAATCTGACAGAAATATTTGGCATCTCAATACTTTTCTTTTACCCATACAAACAATAATTTGATAATTATTTACTTAAATCATTTCGGTGCTTGACTTTTAGATCTTTCATTATAATAAGCATAATAATATTATTTAATATTTCATACCTACTTTTGTCCGAAAACTTACGCGCGCGCCACCTGTCGTATCATAGCAAACGTTATGTCACTACGCAACATTTACTGTCATTTGTTTATGAGAATGTTGCTACAGAAAAAAAGCAACAAAAAAATTCTCAGCTGTCAAATTCCGAGAACATAAAAATCAAAACGTCAAATCGGCGAGAAATGTCAACTGGAAAATAAGAAAAAATTAGAATGAAAGTAAAAATGGTAAAAACGCAGGAAAACGACGGAAATTTGTGAAAAAGTGCAAAAAAGTTCTACATACAAATAGCGGTGGACTAGGCTATTGAGATAAATTAAATAATTTCATTGGAAAAGAAAAATTTTACGTCACATGCGAAAACATGAAATTGGATTTCCGTCGTGCGGTCGATTCCGAAGTTACGGGATAGAAAATGCATAGAGTGTGAAAAGTGAAAAGAAAATTCCTTCCAACAACAAATGCTGCAGTGGCGTAGCAGCACAATTGGCCGCGCCCCCAAGCCCACTTGCTGCCAGGAAGAATAGTAGCAGTGGTGGTCATAGTGTTATTCCCTTGCAAAAGGTGTCGTTTATCAGTGTTTAAAATTTCACAAAGAAACAAACTTAGTTATTGTAAAGCAAAGAAAAAGTATATTTGTTACAAAACAATAACGTGTGTGTATCAACATTCCTTCATACTTATCTGTTCAATTGTCGGGTGACTGTGTGTATGAAAAGCAATTAAAGGAGACAAGTCACTAACGAATGCCGCAAAAGTAGTGACAACGAGTCGTCTAATGGCTTAAAGGGGGTTTTTACACAAGCATTTGAAAATCTTTCGGCTAAACCCACATACCCACTTTACGTATTTAGAGTACGCTATTTACGTATTTACTGAGCCTCTGCTGCAATCAGTAAGTCATAACAAACAATCAAAAATTAGAGTAATGGCCGGCCAACTCGATCCGAATGTCAAGGACGACCTGAAAACCCAATTCGTGACGCGTGAAGGCACCTACCGACTACTCACGTTGTCCGAATACTCCCGTCCAAATCGTGTTGGCTACACAACCACCCAAAGTTCGCCACAAGTGCGTGTTTCCATTGTTACACTACCAAATAATAATCCTTGTCAGAATACTACAAGTGGTAATGGTAGTAATGGAAGCAGTTCTTCTGGTGGCCCTATTAACGGTAATGCGAATGGTACGGCCGCAAACAATTCCAAAGGAAGTGGAGATGGCTCCACGAATGGCAGTAATGCGTCCACAACGGGTACTTTAGTTAATGGACAACAGCAAACAGCTTATGGTGTACCAGCCGCAATGGATGCGCGTCTTGGTGCTGGTATATCCATGCATACCATGATCAACGGTGGATCCGATGGACAAAATGGACTGGCTAATCAAATTTATGGTGGCGATAGGATTTGTTTTAATTTCGGGAGAGAATTATATGTCTACGCTTTTAGAGGTGTAAAGAAGGTAAGTAAATATACAATGCAATATACTGAAAGATGTGATGTAAGTGTCATTGCATTTTTGTTACTTGTGTTTTTTTACAAAACTAATGTAAATTAATATTTGTAGACGCCTTAATTGTTGCCGCAACAGAGTTCGGGGTACTGTGCTAGCAATTATTCAATCGCTATGTACCTACGTGTATGCACATATATGGGTATCACTTCATTTTTATAGCATTTCGTTCGCTTTAGCCATCCGCTCCTACTTAAAAGTCTGAGAATAAGCAAAGAATGAATTTGTGTAAATAACAAACATACTTCTTATCTTATCTAATGCGCGTCTGACGCAGCTGCATGCCGACAGTCCATCAACTATATAGCTATAGCCACTTTTGCACAGCTCAAAACAGCCACTCCATTGCCAACTGCTGCGTGTATAGACAATGGTATTGTTGTTGTTAATACATGCTGCTTTATGCAAGTTGCAGCCGACTGTATCTAGTGGTTGCGCTGCCATTGATAACGAACCACACGAATTTTAAATAAAATAATAGCAAGTGAAATTCAAAAGCACATAAATGAATTAGAACTGGACAAATTGTCATAAATGCTTGTGCATATATTTACATATCGGTATGTACGTGTAAATGTCCGTTGTAATATGAAAATAAATTGCAAACTAAAAAAAAATACAATCACAGGGCTTGTGGCAACAAATTGCAAATTGAAATGCAACGAGGTAGTGCAGTCTACCCATAGCTTCAACTACATATATATATAGGCGAATATAAATATTATTGTGTACTGAAAAGTATTCAAATGATTTGCAAACAATCACTTAATTTGTCGAGCAGTAGGAATTGTTGTGCGACTTTCTGTAGAGTGGACTGGCAAGTAGTAGTTACAGCAGATAACCGCACACACGAAGTCAAGCGCAATATTCGTAGAAATAATCATACATATGTATATGTACCTAGTATGTGCTTGTACGTTGCTCAGCTGCGATGGGCGTTTTGCTATGAGCAGTGGCTTATTCTACAAGCATTGCCCGAGCAAAGTTTGGTGATCGCTAATTTGCTAAATTGAAACTATGAATTTGTAATGACCAATGGACGCATTTGGTGTGGTGGATAATAAAAATTAAATACGTTGATGCTACGTTCTCAGCACTCTTTGCTATCTATTAACGACTATTTGATAAACTTTTAATATGAAAGAAAAATGCACATACAGAGCATCAAGAGAGTTAAAAAATATATGAGATTGTTTTATACACACTACAAAATTTTGAAAAAAAAAATAGAAAGCTTCGCTTGAGTTGCGTGAAGCTTCGACTTTTTTTTAATGTCTCTCGTATTTTTCTTTATTTACTCTACTTAATTGATGATTATCAAGCGTGTGCGACAATTGCAATCAATGTTTACATAGCTACATATATACATACATTCACATGCATGTGCTATGAATATGTGAGTGAGTTTGTAAATTTTTATTGATCGCTCATATTTCGCTTTATTGTATTCGATGATTTATTAGACACTTTGGATGTGAGGAGCAGCGAGAGATGCTTAATATAAATAAATGATCGGCCCAAAATTATTCTTTCTTTATCAAGTTCAATTCAATAATTAAAATTATTATAAATATAATATATAAGCGGGACAATTGGGTTTAAATATTTGCCAGTATTTTCAATAATCATTGCCAGAGTAAGATGGTGAAACTTGTCGTGAATATTGTTGTTTTGAGCTCAAAAATATTTCACATTTTAATGTTTCAGAATTACTGTTTTAGCACAAATTTAGGTCGTACCGGTATAGCCGATTGTCGCAGGAAAATAATTAAATGCCAAATATACACGCTCCCTCACCTTTAAAGGGACCAAAATCCAATGCTCTTATGGTAAAGGTGAAATATACTTCATTTCCCCAGCTGGAGACGTCGATGCTTAATCTTTTAAGCCCCTAATCCGAAAGGGGTAAAGTTATGACTAGGATAACATTGACTAAGCACCAACTAGACGAAATAATCGAAGATTCATCTTGACTATTAATAAAGACCAAGTATTTTGCACTAACCAGCAAGAGTATCCGAAACCTTATAATCCGCATATAGTGAGCCGATCTCAGAGCAGAAATCAAATCCTCAAATGTGATTGTTTATACAATAAAGCATAAAGAGCTACTCAAATTGTATGTATGACATAGACCCTCTCTGACTATAAGTCTCCAGACATGATGGAAACCTTCTAATCCGCATATGGCAGAATATGATGGAATTTTCCCCAACACTCAAGACAGCCAGTTCTACGTACCGGAGTACACCCAGATTTAATCCGGCCAAGGGCTGTCACCTTTTCGGCGACCTAACCCCGTTTAGGTCAACAGGTAAAATTATTTTAAGCTCGATAACGGAGCAACATCTCGCAGCTAGGTTGCTCCAAATCCTTCTTATCTTGGCTGCCGTCGAAGCCAACCCTGGTCCGACGGATTACTTCTGCTGCGTGTGCCAGAAAAGACTCTACCACTCCTCCACCTCGGTTAGGTGAAACCATTGCAATCGTTGGAGTCATCTTAAGACCTGCTCAGGCCTTAAGACCCATAGGGAGTGGACCACAAGTTATGTGCCACACCAGTACCTAAGCGCGCCCCCAGCCTCCACGGCAGTGCCTTCAGCACCTTTACCCACTTTGGGTTATCAACAGACCTTTACATTCTCACGGAGCTCCCTGCAGCATGACAAGGATCGCAAGCGAGACCATGGGGAGGGCTTAGCGTTCATCCTGCACAATACCGTGCAGTATCGTCTTATCGACGGCGACATCGACCGCAAGGATACTACCATAGAAAGTCAGAGCAAAGCTATCCGGTCAGGCGATGCCGAGCTCGAGATATTTAACATATATTTTCCTCGTGTTAGAAGTTGCCTAGTTTAATATAGCCCTGATATAGATACGCTACTCTGAGACGAAAACCATTTGGTTTTGAACGACTTTAACGCGCATTACAATCTTTGGCATTCTAGCCAGCCAAACGACCGTAGAGGGATGGAGCTGGCAGAACAGATAGACGATCTGACATTCTGCACAATCAACAATAACACCCCCACCAAAGTTATGGGTAATTGCCTAAGCTCTCCGGATATAATAATTGCGCGTGCTGGTCTTATAAACAATATAGTCTGGCGATCTGTACTGACACTAGCATCGGGCCACTTACCCATAGAATTCTCGATTGACAACGATCGAACTTGTCCGGCTTCATGGAATTCACCGAGAACGCCTTTAGTGCTCTTCCCACTCCATCAGACGTCACTACTGTTGAACTTCTTTTCTATCCAGACTTGACCCCGACATACCGAACGTTTGTCCTGTATGGAATGAGGGCAAACGTCGCTAACCACCTCTTTACATCCTACCTAGAAACCAACTCATCTAACCAGCCTTTCCCTCTGATCCGAACCCCTCAAAATAGCTCGTTTCCTGGACCTCCCGTTAGACGAGCTCGATAACGTACACTGATCTTGCCTGCTAGTGAACCGCTACAACAACAACAGTGGCATTTCTGCCTAATGTGGAGTAAACAGGGAATATATATCCAAAGTCTGTCATAATTTCTTCTAAAGATATTGGAGCGGTTTGTTAATGCTTATATCAAACGGACAGTGGGCGAGAGATTCCCCCGGAAGCTCAGCATGCTTACACAACGAACAGATTAGTAGTCACAGCACTAAACATTGTTGTGAGGGAAATAGGATCGGCGTTCGAAAATGAAGAATATTTCAGAGGAATCGTTCTTGTCTTCTTGACATATCCCGAGCGTTCAACAACGTCTAAGCAAGCGTTCAAAGACTGATAAAAAGAAAAGAATCGATAAAAGCCAATCATATCTATCGGTCCTTAATAAACGCCTTACTGAAACTGAAAAAATGCAAGCCCAACAGGAACTAGTTGTGATAACCCGAGAAGTGCACAGTGGCATGGCACAAAAAAATTGGGTTAGCACCTCTCCTTTGATCTTAATGGTCAACATATGACTGTTAAGGCTAAAGGGATCGGCATCCATGGTTATACGGCCCATACAAATGACATTTCTGTTATCGTAAGCTCCCTTCATAATCATTTGTAAGACTCTCTAAGGAGTCGAACAGCTTAACCTTAACTAACATACTAAAAACTTATCAATATACTTCAATACGGATGTCTAAATCTTAGAAGAGCCAAGTACCGTCCATTTCATACCATTATAATTGTGATCCCCAATGTCATAAAATCTGTGTATACATCAGCTTACAAATCTTTCTCGCGTAACATATAGCCAACAATCTCTATAATTGAATCTCGCCAATAAACGTACCACAATCTCTTCCATATAAATTACGGCGCAGAAGCACAGAAGAAGTGTAGAAGAAAGGCTCATGCTGTGTCACGCGACCAACTGAATGAAGGTCTCGACCCGGAATACCCAACCTATATTCCGAGCCAGCTCTGGATCTCCTCCTCAAGACTACTTATACTTATTCTTTATAGGCGTTGGCACCGCTTACGAGATTATAGCCGAATCTGTACTATGGCGCCAGTAGGAAATACCAAGTGAAACCAGGTCACTCTTCACCTGATTTTTCTAATGTAATGGAGGTGTTCCTCTTCATCAGATTCCACCAGCGGGTACTGCATAGAATATAGTTTGTACAACTCATCGCCCCATCGTCTGCGGTATTCGCCGTTTGCCGATGTGCAAAGGACTATAAATCGTTCGCAAAACTTTTCTCTTGAGGACTCCTAGAGCCCACCCAACCGGGTATGATGAGCGACTTGTAGAGTTGGTTTTCGTTCGCCGAGAGAGGACTCTACTTTTCACTTGTCTACTAAGTCCAAAGGTGCCAGCAGGTGCTAGCAAGAGTGATCCTGCGTTGGATTTCCAGGTTGGTATTGTTGTTGGTGTTAATATACGAAATTATCTCTGACTTCAAAGTTATGTCTGTCAACAGTGACGTAAGAGTTGAGTCGCAAATGCGATGACT